GGTCATTGGTGCCTATTGAAGCGGCAACCAAAGGACTGTTTGGTGGACACCAGCGGTGTCTGCCTGATGGCCTCCATCAGGCAGAGGAAGAGGTCTTCAGGGCTTGGCTTTCCTGGAGAACTCCTGCAATAGCCAATGGGTACAGGGTGGCAAGAAATTTGCAGGTTGCAGATGCAAAAACTTGGGAATGGGAGGAATTTTGGGAGGCCATGGAACAGGCCTTTTGGTTAGACTTGGGATGGTTCTGGGAAACCATTTAGTGATTCAGAAAAAGAAAGTGCTTCTTGTCCCAGGATGTGCTTGGTTTGGGTGGGGAATTGCTGACCCACACTGAGGATATTGTTGAAAGGTGAAAAAACCCACATTGCGTAGAGTTTGTCTTCACCTGCATGCTTTCTGTGAGTGATGTTTGCAGTTAATTGACTGGGTGGAGTCCTGGCTGGACTCACCTGTTTGCAGTTTCCTGAGGAACCTTCACTGGTATTTAAGCTGCCCTCAGAGTTCCATCCGACACTGGATTTTTCTGTCATTTTCGGTACTGTGTTGACAGCCAACAAAACCTCCTAAGTTYTGGTTTGTATATCCACCTTCATGTACTTATGCCCTCGTGTTTACTGTCTGAATACTTAACTGTTGACAAACCTTTCTGGATTCCAAGAAGAGCTCCATGATCGTCCTCTGCCCTGCCTCTCTCCAATGAATGAATCCAACCTGCAAACACAAGAAACCCATGCAGAAAGCTAAAACCTCATCCAACTCACCCGTTGGCAGTTTCCTGATGAGCCTTCACTGGTATTTAAGCTGCCCTCAGAGTTCCATCTGATGCTGGATTATTCAGTCATTTTTGGTACTGTGTATGACAGCCAACAAAACCTCCTATGTTATGGTTTTGTGTAATCAACCTTCGTGTACTAATGCCCTCATGATTACAGAACTTTGTATGTCTGAATACTTATCTGCTGACAAATCTTACTGGATTCCAAGAAAAGGTCCGTGGTCATCCTCCGCCCTGCCTCTCTCCAATGAATGAATCCAACCTGCAAACTCAAGAAACCCATGCAGAAAACTAAAACCTCATTCAAAGACTTACCTGTAAAACCATCTCCTGGATCCTCCTCTACTGGCCAGCTTCCTCAATGAACAAACTGTAAGAACAAACAAATATCATTCAATCATCTTCCCTCCTGGAGTTTCAAAGAACTAAAAGACTGTTCTCTTTCACTGTAAATAAAACTCACTTACCTTTTACTACCGTAGTCTGCCTTGTTCTTTCATTACTAGTTTTGTGGTTCATTTGGGTACATTCAGGAAATTAAAACCTAACACTTTGAGGCAAAGTCGGATGACTCAGAGTAAGATGAGKCCATTACCACAGAGGTAGTCATTTGAATATGAAGCTGGCAGAAGCTTTGTGTCTTGGTCTCCATGTAAGACCTCCAGTTCAGGTCCCTCCAGTTGTGCTGGTCCAGTTGTCTCATCAGCTACACTATCACATCAAAAATTCACAGAGCACAACATCAAATATACAAATCAAATAAAACCTTTTATTTACCTTTTTCTAGTTTGTAAACAATCAGCAAACTTTCTGGAGATTCTCCTTCTCCAGATATGCTGCACTTGTAACGTCCTTCATCAGACTTGGAGATGTTTTGGATGGTAAAGTTGTTTCTATAGCTGGTGCTCAGAAGTACACCATCTTTGTAGAAATCACTGATGTGTTTCAGMTCAGTTTTCTTGTTGGTACACCAGAGAGTCAGGTCAGATCCTTCCATCACTGGTCGGACAGGAACATCCAGGATCACCAAACCAGCTGAGAAACAAGAAGATGAACGTTTGATTGTTCTTCAACTCAGATTTACCACACAGTACAGTTAATGGTGTCCGTACCGGTAACAGAGATGTTGACAGCATTTGTCACTCCACCTTCATCATTTTCACACCAGTATTCTCCACTGTGTCGTTCCAAGATGGGATTAATTGTGCAGGATGGAGCTGATGTGTTACATGTTTCAGTAGAAACTTTTGGATCAACTTCATGGGGTTTCTGTTTCACTCTCCACATCTTCATCTCATCAATCAGCTCACATCCGACAGAGACAGACTCATATTCTAAGAACTGAAGTCTGTTTGGAACAATTGTTGGAAAAGTTGCTTCTGAACAGAAGAAATGAGAAAAAATTGTAAATGAGTCTTATACTTAATAAAGAATTTATTTATAAAAAGGAAACGCAAAACAACAAAAAGTTATTGAAATCATATATAAAACAATTAACTCATTTATTTCCAGTGATGGGAGTAACAGCTTACAATTAAACAGCGTTACAAACGGCGATACTTTTTTTCAGTAACGGGTACTCTAAGTAGTTACTATGTCTATCGTTACAATGCTGTTACCGTTACTGACCACTAAATGGGATGCAATACTTTGTTTTCTGCCCTGGCTCTCGTAAGC